TCACGTTGCATCTTTTCAGCGATTGTTGTTACACTTGACCACGGGCTGGGTTATCCGCTAGGCCCTGGAGCCCGAATGGTCACACGTTGGGCTTTGAACTCGATTTTTAAAGCTCAACTCGATCCAAGAATATATTGCATGAATTTTTTTAATTTAAAAATATTTGAATTAAAATATGTATATTTAAAAAATTAATAATATAATCAACTTAGATGTGTGGGTCAGCAGGTCAAATTCGGTTTTTAGAGATGTTAATCCTGTTTGACTCGATCCTTGAAAGCTTCTAATTTTATTGATTGCCCAAATTTGCAAATTCACATGAATTTATCCTCAGCTATCTTCCATCAGATATTATAGCTAGACTGGATACTTGTAAAACAGGATTCAATTAAGTCAAGCATCTAGTCAAGACGAGGGAGATATATCATAAAAGCATTGTTTTCTTTCCAAGTTTGCATTGCATGGCCGTTATTTTGGATTGTGGAATAGTAAGCAAAGAACATTGCATTGCTTAATTTCATGGTTTGGACGACTGATCAGATTCATCCAACCAATTGTGAATAAGCTCCTACTTCACCACGAAATATACAACAAACAAGTTCACCCTCTCAGCTTCTTTCGAGGATATTGATCCACGCGTGTTTTCTCTGATTCCATTGATATTCTATTCAGGAAAAGTGCCAAGGAGTTGCTTCTTGGGCCCTTCGTACACCATCACTTAGAGTTGCCTTCCTCACAGCTGAACAGCTTACAGCTTAGTCTTTGGGAAATCTAACTTCCTGGAACATTCCAAGGATTTAAATTTCTTGCCAGACTCCATCGCCATTAAGCTCAATGAAGACCAGCTTGGAAATTTAGCTGTGAGCTGTCCTGCTGTTGACAGCTTGACGTTGTTGAATTTTCCGAATTCGGAGCATCTTAAATTCCATGGACCAAACCTTAGGGACACTTGGTTTCCAACTTTGAAAACACCAAACATCATCTGGCCAAAGAACTATCAACCTGATTCTGATAGGTCTGATTCTATCATGAAGTTTTTGGCGGAACAAGAACTATCAAACTTATTCTTCCCCAAACATCAAGCAATGTTAGTACAATACACTTACCGTAGAGGAGTTGTATTGGAGTATTTGAAGATGATTAATCTTGCTTGTTACCTAAACTTTAGATTCTGACCATTACAAAATGTGGGGAGATGACATTTACGAAGGGAAAGCTTCGAAAAACACTCAGGAAGTTGAAGGAAATTTCACCTACGGTCAAGATTAGATACTGGTCATCAGTTTCAACTCTGTCCCATATATTTCAGTAAATCATGAAGGTAATACCTGTGTGTGTCCACAGATTTGTTGAACTAAGGCTTTTGTTGGATTTTTGTGTTCCAGACTTGTGCTATTGCCTTACTGGCAGTAAGACAGCAATTTGTGTGAGCATTGGTTACCTATTGGAGTAATTCAAAATCAAAATTTGCATATATATATATATATATATATATATATATATATGATACTCTTCTAATTCAAGTTTAAGTTCTTTCTTGTTTTGTGATAATGTTGTGGTTCAAAAAGAACACTTCAAATGTTTCCATAACCTCCTGCTGAACACATGATTCAGGTAATTAATCCAAGTTCAAGTTTACGTGAATTTTTAAACAGATATACATTAAATAAATGATTTCAAATAATTCATGAATATTATATTTAACAACAGTATTTGATTCCAATTAAATTTTAAATATCTTAATAGTATATTATTTTAATTTCGAATAATTCCAAATAAACGGTACCCTACTTGCCGTCATTTCTATAAATAATTCATACAATCTTTTCTTGTTAGCTACTCTGCTCATTTCCATGCATGTCGGTTCGTTTCGAAAGATATCATAAATAGTTACATGCCACTCTTTAATAGTTACCAGATATGAGGCGTACGTACACTTTGACTCGTTACCTAATGTTTCATATACGTCCCTTTCGATGCTCTAGAGGCCCCTCATCATATTTGCAGCGAAAGTAACCTGTGGTGGGTTTTCCGTGACGTTTCTTTGTCAAGTATTTATCATGTGACTTGTCTTACAGTCACGGTGTTAATTTACTGTATCACACTCTGGTTCGGCCGAAAGCATAAAGAACTTATCTATGTCTCATTTTAATCTTAAAGAATAATCGAGCGGTGGAACTAAAATGATTATGGTTATTATTTTTTAATATTTTAATTTTTTTATCATTATATTTATAAAATTAAATATATATATAATATGATTATTTTTATAATTATTTTTTATGTAAAATTTTAAATTCGTTATTGATTGAAATTGATTTATGGAGGTGCTACTAGGCCCATCAAAATTCAGCCATTTTCAATGAAAGTTGCTTGATTAGATATCTGATTAAGATGCGCTAGCATCCACTCATTCCACGTTAATCTAAACATCAACACATGAAACCTTCATTCCTGTAGAGGATTATGAGATATTTTTACTAAATCTTTGGTTTTGCTAGTTTTTAATTAGATGACATGTATATCTACAACACTAAGCACGGCAATTAAAATGAAATCAAACATTTGATTTAATGATTAATATATAATTTTTAAATTCGAATATTTGATTCAATGATTAATGTATAATTTTTAAGTAAAGTTTGAATCTCTTTTTATCCGGATCAAAAAAATTGTAATGATAAAAAGACGGTGTAATTAACGTGAGATAAGCATAACGACCTTTACAATAGAATAACTATTTAATTTTGAAAATTACAGTTAAGACCCGAATAAAGAATGTTTGATCTTACACAAGAATTAACTGGACAGCCTCTCAGATTTTCCACTTAATAGGAATAGCAACTACAACATATTTCCATTTCAATAATGTCTTCGTAGTACGTAATCTGTACAGTTGGAGTAAAAAAGGAAAGCAAAAGCGAAAAAAATATAAAAAAATCAAATAAAATTGAAAGCCCTTTCGAGTTATGATATGCCACTATTATGCAACTGTAGGAGTTCTAGCATGCTGCTTCAACTATAATTTTCTAACTCTTTTTGAAAGATTAAAAACAAAGATTTTATGAGGAGTTCACCTCGGGCCAGACAGCTCCATGGCTTGAACGAGTAATGAAGAGTCATCAGTGAGATCAGAATATCGGTCTGATGAGGAAAACTCATGGGGTTTGCACTTGGTTGCTTCAGCTCTTTGAGAAGCTTCCCATCTTTCGGCCAGCCCGTCACCTTCAAGCATTCTAACCACTTCAGACATTTTCGGTCTATGGCCAGGAAGGTATTGTGTGCATAGCAATGCCACTTGAACCATCTCCTCTAGCTCAATTCTATCATAGTTGCTTTTAAGATCCTTGTCGACAAGCCCTTCAAGCTTCTTCTCCTGATGAATTTTCCTTACCTGCAAGTACCAATTAATGTCACAAACATGAAGGGGAATAACTATGAATTATCTAATAAGAGGAATCGATGCTTTAATATTTAAGCATTCAAGGTATGCTCACCCAATCAAGCATTGCTCCTTTCTGGTTAGCAGCCTTGCCAAATTCTAGCGCTCTTTGACCTGTGATTAATTCAAGGAGGAGAATTCCAAACCCAAAGACATCTGTCTTTTCAGAAGACTGACCTGTGGAGAGGTATTCGGGAGCTATATGACCCACGGTACCCCTCACAGCTGTTGTGACATGTGAATCTTGGTGATCCAAAAGCTTTGCTAATCCAAAATCTCCCACCACAGCCTCACAGTAATCATCAAGCAGTATATTTGCTGCTTTGACATCCCTATGAATTATCTTTGGATCGCACTGCTCATGAAGGTATAGTAATCCCCTGGCAGCTCCCACGGCAATTCTCTTTCTGGTGCCCCAGTCCAAGACTGGTTTTCCTGTCGCAGGGAATATTCAGGTTTAGTTCACCTACTCAAATATAGCATTACTAAATTATGGCCATAATATCCAGCAAACTCTTTGTATTTTACCTTTGAGACGAGAGGCAACACTGCCATTAGACATATATGGGTAAACAAGAAGTTTCTCTGTGGGTGTTATACAAAATCCATAAAGCCGTAGAAGGTTCCGGTGCACTGCCAGGCTGATCATCTCAACTTCAGTCTGGAACTGTATCTCTCCTCCTGCAGCATTACCATCTTTAAGCCTCTTAACAGCTACAATTGTTCCATCTTGCAATATTCCCTTGTACACATTCCCAAAACCTCCCTTTCCTAGTATGTTCTTGCTGCTGAAGTTATGTGTTGCAATCTGAAGTTCTCTGAATTGGAACCTCCTCAAGTTTCCAAGGGAAACTTCCTCATGATGTCGGTCTGAAATTTGAAATGACAAGACGCAATTACAAGAACTAGTTAGCTCTTACACCTCAAAGATGCTAAAATATCTAATGAAGACTTCTGTAGTAAGTCTAATTATCTCAAACCTTTAACATCAAAGAATATCTGTTCATTCCGCCTTTGTCTCCACCAAAGTAAGAGACCTAGTATAAGAACCATCAGGGACACGCATCCGATGCTTGAGCCAAACGCAATGGCTATTTTGTGACTTTTGGATCTGCCAGAAGGCAGAGCAGCTTGAGAAGCAGAAGGGGTTCAAAGTCAGATAAATCACAAGAGTGCTTAAAATTGATATTCTCTGAGCACAGTAAGATTAGAGAAAGTTGAGAAAATTTTGGAAATTCTAAAATTCCATACCTTGCGAGCTGTTCAAGTTCATGGACATTGGCATCAGTGTCATCCCATGGCATTCTGGTTCAGACCCTGTTGCGCAGATTAAAGGATTCCCCACTATGCTGCAATAACGTAGTAGAGGAGCAAAGTTTATCAACATAATGTTCTGCTGAGACTTGAGAGTTAGAGGTGAAGATAGAGGATATACCTGAATGTTTTAGCAGCAAATCTGGGCACTGGTCCACTTAGATCATTGTAGGACAAGTCACTGAAACATATAAGATATAAAAAAAGGAAAAAAGAATCAGAAAACCATGTATAGGAGCATATTTCAATCACAGATACAAATCATGGATCTAGGAGGCGGAAAAAGGGGAAGGGAGAAATCAAAGATTAAGAGGCTTACAGGAAGGTAAGCTGGGTCATGTTGGCCAAGGACACAGGACATGCTCCAGAGAGACTGTTGTTGTTTAGCCTCCTAAAATCAACATTTGCAAGCCCTCATGTTAAAAATTGAAACCAAAAAGAGTGCAGATAATGGACATGGTAGTCCTTGAACTTTCAGGCTCTGTTTCGCAGATTTCAGTTCTTACATGTATTGGAGGCTCCTTAGGTTGCCTAAAGAGGTCGGAATTTCCCCAGTGAAGGAATTATCAGAAAGATCAAGTGTTTGAATCTTTGAGAGCTTCCCCAGCTCTGTAGGAATTGGTCCTGTTATGTTGTTATTCTGCAAGAGCCTGCAAAATTAGTGCATAGCAGCATTCATATTAGACCATGAACAAAAAGATGCATTCGATTTGAAAAACGCTTTGATATTTCCGCAGTCATCTGTCGGAAACTTACACAATCTGAAGATTTGTCAAGTTTCCTATGCTTGGAGATAAAGTACCAGATAAATTCTGGCTTGGAGTGCCCCTGCAACAAGACCATTTCCACTAAGTTCAGAAGATGTTCATCTATTTAATAATCTCGCTTCATGATGAATGCTTTGCTTTCTCTTGTAAATGTTCCATATCCTCTCCAAAAAATTGAGGTTATAAAAAGACTTACAGGCCAATGACCAGGCTTTCAGGTGAGCAAGTCACCATTGCCCAGCTACATGGATCAACAGCATCCGCATCCCAATTATCAAGTACACCATGAGGATCATGTAGAGCTGCCTTAATAGCCATTAATGCTTGCACTGAAAGAGAAACACTGATATTATGAGATCTCCCTTCACATGAATACACACTCTTGTTGATAAAAGAAAGAAGATGCAACTTTCCTATTTACCTTCATAGTTTACACCTTTGGGAGAAAGTAATCCATTTGTAGGAGCCCAAAACCATAAGAAAGCCATAAAACAAAAAGCAATTTCTCTCTTTTTCATTGCCATTGAGCTAGAAATCATAAGAACAAGAGGCAGCCAGTTGCCAAAGCTAAGCTTGTGTTCAGTGATAGTTATCAGAAAAACAACTTTGAAATGAGGCTCTCTTGTTTAAGGTAATCCTGAGATCAGAACCCACTCCCAGCTTTCCATGCCAGAAATCCATTCACTAAAAATCTTGTGTCAGACACCAGGAAAAAATAATGAGCGGAAAAGAAAAAGAAATCACAGATTTTTTTGGTAGTATAAAGTGAACTAGCATGCCTGTCACTTGGTCAGGAGAGTTGCAAGAAAAAGAATATATAATGCCCACAATCTAAAAAGAACAAAACTAACCAAATCCAAGGTTTATATTCCAAGAACAAGGTCACATTAGGAAATTCCCTTGCTATATTAATTACATTCTTTGCCTACAAAAGTATTCAACATAAGTTATACTAATCACATTCTTTGCCTACTAAAGGTATTCAACATAAAAGTATTAAAAAGAGTGCCACTAAACATGAAATTTTTTTAATTATTTTACATCTCTTTTCAAATTTTCAAACTTAATTATTTACTTTATTTTATACATCATATGCATATGTGTGTGGATACTTGAAAGGGCATTATACATTGCATAGAGCAGATACTGAACTGAAGCAGCACAGAATGGACAGAGAGAGAAAGAGAGAGAGAGAGAGAGTACGCATTGGGAAGAAGAGAAGTATATGTACTTGTCTTTTGCTTGGGACAATGGAGAATCCAACATTCCCTGAGTTTGGCCATTCAGTAAAAGTCCCAAAACCCATTTTCTTCCCCATATTTTTTAATTCAGTGTTTAGACGCTAGTTGTTTTTGGCTAATGGATTGAATTGAGAATGTGAGGATCTCTAGAGGGTGGCAGATGGGTGGCTCGAGATTGGTGATGACAGAGGGATTCGGTCACCCAACCATTTGTATTTTCATATGACCCCCACATTAGTATATCTGATTCTCTACTTCATCATAATCTCAAAATGGTTAATAATTTATGCCAAAATCCACTCACTTTTGGGCTGTAAATCAAGTGTTAAAATGTTGGGTGTTTGTGTATGCTTTCTTTTTTGCTTTATTGAAGATTCCAACATATCCAACAATCACACGCTCTTGCTTTTCCTCTTTACCTCCAGCGGGCAGTCATTCCCTCAGACACTTATAAAAAAGAGCTACACTTTTAAAAGCAAAAGCTGCCACCCCATCCTCTAAATTATTTGATCCTGAATTATTGTCGATTTTCAAATGCTCTCCTGGCGCGTGCGTTTCTTCTCCTTTTATTTTGTAAAAAGGAAATGATTATATATAAATATACGGTAACTTTAAACATTAACATAGCTGCTCACTCTTTTTTAAATTGTTTGATTTTCACAAAATCAAGTATTAAAAAATATATAGTTTTAGAAATATTTAAAAAATGAAAATAAATAAATAAAATGCATGTAATTGATGACATTCCAGTTTGACGCCTGTTATTATTTTATTTATTATTTATTTGACAAAAGGTTAAAGGACCAAAAAAGGGCTATTTTTATAATTTTAGTCCCAATCTATGGAGGTTTTGTGCTGTTCTTAGTTGTTACTTGTTACACACTACCCTTATTGGCGAGTGGAGAACAAATTTACCCAAAAAAAGAAAAAATGTTAAAGGGATAAAAGCTATGACGTTATTTATTATTGGTTCATGAGAAAGAAACCGGACCGTGCCAGACCGGCTTCAATTAGATTTATGAGCGAGACAACTCCAAAAACAAAACCACAAAAATTACATGCACTTCTTTCTTTTTTTAAAATTTAATTTAATTTAATTTATTGATCAAATATATTAGCTAATAATAGAAAATTTACATGATATTGATCATTAAATAGTCATATATTAATATTTTAATCTTATAGTCCTTAATAATGTAAGGTGGTTATGTCATATGACTAACGAATGGATTTAGACCATATATTATACTTGCGTTACACGCTTCATTCATGATTAACATGCTTGATTGACAATACCCACTAATAAAGCCTCGAATGAGATCCTGTGTAAGCAAGCTTAGCTAAACCTGCCTCCAAAAAAACAACCTAGGCCAATCGATAGAGACGGGGGAAGAAGAACTCCAACCCTGAAAAAAATGGCCAATCATGCGCTAGACAATAAGAAATAAAACTAAAAAACTGAGACAAACATCAGCAACGCAAGAAAAGGAAGAGCAAACATTTTACATGGCAAAATGACAAGAATGTCCAGAGATTAAGGGCCGAAACCACAGGGAAGCATCAAGACACGTATATATATAATTGTCCCTTTCCTTTGTATCACCTATCAGAGGTCTCAATCCCCACAAAACAAGCCATATTCCCAATGGTAGATGCTGGGTTCATCAGGACCATAACCCTCAGATTTTGAATCCCATAAAATCCAAAGATAAAGTTGTAACCCTTGGTTTGTCTTCAATGCTTTGTCTTCTCTCCTATTTTGTCTATGAGAAGTGGCAAATCATAAAGTAACAAGGCTGGGTGTGGGAATGTAAGTTTTTAATAAATTTTGAGGTATTTGTGGGGGGCATTGGATGCTCCCACATGATACATGGCCTCTTGTCAGCTAAACATATTGCCCTACCCAATACCCAATTTCACTTCCAAAAGAAGAAAAGGACTTTTAACATCACAAGCAAGCATTTTCATCAATTAAGGGCATACAGTGAGCATTATATATAATTACCACTATGCGTGATAATTACCAGTCAATTGTTATTCAAGAGGCACCAAACATGTCCCTTATTTTTTTATTGAAAATGACAAAATTATATCTGAATACGACTCTTTCTTAACCTTTTTTTATTTATAAGAAGAGGAAATTTGATTAAACTCTTTGAATAGGAAATCATGTAAAATTAATGAATGAAATGTGCTCAAGAACACTTTTTTTTATATTAATAGTTTACAAAACCCTGTTTGAAGTAAACCCGTTTTAATAGTAGTTAATTATTGCTAATTCGTATCTAATCTTGAATATATGTTTTTTCGAAATAGGTCTAATCTTGAATATTGATACATAAATTTTGTTTGAATCTATCTATACATTAATTTTAATATTAGTCGTAGGTATCCTCGAAGCAAATGATCCGTATCTAGTTTCATTTTCTTTTTGCTTTTTTTTTTGGTTGATATTTTGAAACAATATTTGTTTCCTCTTTGACAAAAGATATTGGAGTCATTAAGCGAAATTTAATATGCTAATTAACTAATTTTATAGGGGAAAAATATATTAAAGACCTAAAACTAGATGATTTGTTACTTGATAAGTTTGTGGCTTCCGGGAACCTATTAGTTCTTGATATTGACATATGACTAAAGCATCTAAATTGAGGTAGAAGTTGCTGAGAAGGTTATTTTTTTCATAAGGTAATGATCCTACAAACAGTTAGAGCAAAGAGTGGAAAGATAAGATCTCTAAGGGAACAACTATGCAAAAATTTAATACTCCAATTTGAAAGGTTTGGATTCATATTAACAGTAACAAGAGAGAGTGAGATCTATAAGATGATCAGAGATAATTATTTCTTATTATTTAATCTAAAACCATATACGCCAAAAAACTATATGAAAAGCAAAGAGAAGGTCAAAGAGGAAACCAAGAGGGTCCAGGTATTGGTGGACCATGAGTTTTATGGACAATGTCACCAGGTATATTTCCCAAATGAGTGGCAAATAATTACTCTTCAAATATTTCGATCGAGGGGGTTTGAATAGAGGGAAGGGCAGCTCCATTTTAACCTCTACCCTCTCCCCTTTGAACATTTGAAGTACAAAATCACATGATATTTGCCTGAACAAAGCTAGACTTGACAGGGCTTCCAATAGCTTTGTTCAGGCACTCCTAGAGACCCCATTTGTCTCCATAACTCAGCCCCACTCTGCTGGTCTTCCCTCCACTCCAATGTTTTGTACTTTTACGGCAACTCTTTAACATTTGCCTCCATTATCATATTCCATAATGAAGCTTTTTCTTCTTCTTCTTCTTCTCCTTCTTTTTGAGAAGTGAGCCACTTCATCATGAAGCACTACTACACAATGCAATCATGTTGCACCGAGGGATCCAATGGCTGCAGATCATAAACCTTATTAGATCATTGAAGAGATAATTAATTCTTTAATTGGTGAAATCAAAATGTAAAGTAATTAAACCTCTTAATAATCTTTGGACATTCTTCATGATAATAGTAATAATGGTATGGCGGTTTTAGGGAATGCTTTCTAGGGGACAATGGGCATCATTTGGGTTGGCTGCAAGTGGAGAGCAACTGTCCCTCCATTAAAGGTTTGAATGAATTAACACTTTATTCAAAAGATAGATTACAATTTTTATTTTGTTCTAAAAAGAAGAAAAAAGGAAGGGTTGGGGAGGCAATCGATCGATTCATATCTAATACTAGAACTTTTCTAAGCTAATAGTAATAGTGATTGATGTGCTATCACAACTGTTTTCATATGCATAAAATTTACAATTTACTGGCAATTAACTGATGTAAATGATCTCAGTGAAGTACACTCCAAAGAAATTAATTTATTGGAGGGTACAAAGGGAGAAGAAAAGGTTGTTGGACTTGGATCATACCTTATCCATGGCCCCTTGATTTCTTCTTTGACACAGACTTATTCAAGGTGTAGAGCAGACCATGCTTAATTCTATGAAATTAGCCCAAAAGATATAGTAGAAATAACATTATAAACTAGTCGATTCAAATAATAAACTTGGCAGCAGAAAACTTTTGAAATCATAAGGTGGCTTAAAGGTAGCTGATACCTAGCTAGCAACGAGTGCTTCTTAAGATATTTGGTTTCTCTATCATCAAAAAAAGGTTCCTTATCTTGTGAATGGTAATCATAATAAACCAAAGCACATTGATTGTTATTTCTTCTCTAAATTATTAAAAAAGAAGAAAGATATCAAAAGAAAATAATGTTAGTGGCATTAGATTGTGACCTGTGAGCCCTTCGAAATGACAAAGATTTGTCATTGACAGCAAAGTAAAAGTTTGATCTCAAAGGTGTTCATGAGATTAAAGACAGTGATTGTACCAACATGGGCTTGGAGAAAGCTTTTGTTTGAGGGAACAGGAGGGTCCCATGTTTCTAACTTTGTGATGGACCATAACAGCTAAGCTTAAGCCCCTCCCCTCCCCCCACAATGACCCAAGACCTTACTGTAACCCTGCACTGTTTCCTGTCTTCCTACAAAATTATTTTACCTTTGGTCCTTGTATTCATCTTTAACATCATTTTAACAGCTACACTGTCATAACTTTTCCTCTCTTCTTTCTCCCCCCTCAACCTTATCCCCTCTACTTCCTTTTGTCATCAGTGGAAAATTTGCCTCCCACGATATGAGGTTTGTTTAACCACATTTTTGTAAAGTTCTTGCGGGATTTTGGGGGTTTGCTTAAACTTCGAGGAAAGTGCAAAAGCCCGTGCATCAAACAGTATTTAACTCTTAAGAATTCATGTTCAAGCAAAAGTTCACACCTTTACACAGACTAAGTCCATTATGTACCAATCCTTTTTTTTTCATGGTCATAAATTGCTAAGAATGCATGAGAAATGAAAGGAAGGGATTCTTTTCGATTTTAGAGGCTTACTTTGTTAATCTCACATTATTTCTTACAATAGTATATTTGATTAGTTGTTTTGATCACTAAATTAAAAATAATAATAATAAATATATTAACCATTTACGTTTATGAATATTATTGTTTTAGTCATTCAATCGTTATAATAAATCTCTTCCGTAACATTTTACATCACCATCCAGGTCGGTTGCTTTGTTACGTGGATATTTCAGGTGACAAGAAAAAAAATTATCTATAAAATTTTTAATTGCTTTCTTTAAATTTTTTTTTAAAAATTTTTTATTACCATGCGGATATGGACACATGTATTTTGATCAAAATATTATTTTTCAAAATTAGTTGATCAAAAGAAAAAACATTAGAATGGTTAAGTGATCCAAACATATTTTACTCTTAAATTTTCATAATTTGGTTATTTATCATGGATTATTAGTTTTATTATTATTTTTTAAATAAAAGCTTTCTATAAGAAGCAGAAAGTCAAAGTGATTTCATATTAATTTATTTAAAAATAAATAAATAATTAAAATGTAAAACTAATTATAATATGAGTAATCTAATATTATAGTAAAATCAAACATTTTGTTACCTAAAAACTTAGATTTAAGTCTTCAATAAAATTATTTATCTTGTTAACCTAATGTGCATTTTTGTTTCTCTTTTAGAAGCAAAAGTTAAGTAATTTATAAGAGTAAAAACTAATTAGGAGTTGATAGACCTATCATGAATCCGAAAGAAACCATTAATCTACTCAATCCAAATCCAGTCTAACTGATTGGATTAAAAAAGTCAATAATGACAACTTGAAATTATACGAAATCAAATCTTAAATAATTTAAATAAAAATTGACTCGAACCTAACCATTATCCAAATCGAAATGACTCAACGGCCAAAACTTAACCTTTTTTAAGCAAGATATATATTTATTTTTTATTTTACTTATCAATTCTATTAGAAATAATAAAAGCATATAAATAATTATAAAATTGACCTAAAATCAACTCAATTTGTATGATTTCTAAAACAGCAATTACCTAAACCAAACTCATCAGAAATGTTAACGAATCTAAACCCACAATGGAGTGGGCATATAATCCAAACTTAAAATTAACGACAACAAATTTTATAATCCAAACTCAAAATAATCTAATTTGATCCAGTCAATTGCTATAACTAATAATTAGACAAGACCTTAATTTTTGCATTTTTTTAAGTCTTTTAATCTTTACAGTTATTCTTTTTATTCTATCTCCTAGTAGTTATTTTTAAATATAATATCCAAATAAACACCTGAATTATATAAAAAATCAATTAAATTTTTATACTTTTAATACATTTAATTAAATTTTTGATTTTTTATTTTAAATTTGTAACTAGTTAGTCAAAATTATAAGTGTGAATTTAATGTTATATCATATATATGTGACGTCATTTTGGATAATGTTAGTGTCACATGACCAATGACATGGCCAAAGATGTTACTTATTAAATGTTTTGATTATTAAGTTGCTTTTATTTTTTCTCAATCACATGTTTTAAAATCATTGATTTAAGAATTTAAAAAAATTAAAAGAATTTAATTTCTAAACAATCTAATCGATTAGGGTTTATAACTATCAAATTTCTTAAACCATCTGAGAAGAAAAAATTTCAATTGAAATAATTAAGAACAAATTTCTGATAGAACTAACTCACTTAAATTATATTCAAAAACTAAATCCAAGTCATATGAACACTCTTCTTTTTATTCTTCTTGAACAGTTAATGCAGCGAGCTATCTTTCATGGCTACGGAAGAGGAATCGATAGATCAAGCAGCTGCGTCACGTCGAGAGAGGCTTAGAGCTCTTAAAGCAACCCAAGAAGTCTTAAGCACCCCAGATGAAATACACATCGAAGTTAGAGTAATCTTAATCCAATTCAGTTAGACCAGTATATTTTTTCAATAGCAAGGTCCGACGTAGAATAGGATAATTTTTCAATAAGAAAAACCAAGATCAAGCCGAATCAATTGACCAATTTTCAGTTTGGTGCTTGAACCTAATTAAAGAATGATCGACATGATACTCAAAACTTTATTTTTCCTTTTTTGGTATATAACGATTTAAGTTGAATAGTAAGAGACAACCCTCATTTATCTTATAAATTCCAATTCTCCTTTTAAGATATATTATTAACATGGTAAGGAAAAACCAATTGGTGGCCAGAAATGGATGTTTCATGTGGGCACAGTCTAAGACCCAAAAATGGCTGCAGTTTTCCATTCATGGTCCCCTCTGCCTTGTTCAGTCGCAGCTTCAACAGAGTGGCAGTTTTGTAGGAGTAATAGCTACTAATCATCAAAACATAATGGCAATTTTGTCGTAATTGCTGTAAGAACATAGCTTGTCCCGTTTGGTCCTCACCCTCCATTCCAGAAAACACAAGGCTAGCAGGGACTTGCTTTTATTTTCAGATTAAGAAATTTGAAATGGAGATAAAAACAGGGCCAGAAGGATGGCAAACAAACATATTTCGTGTGTCATGTTCAGTCACACTCACCGCGTTTTGCTCGTTCACAAGTCTTATTCACTTGATCTGCTTATCAGATTGGTGACCCATTCTTTGGCTGAACAAAGCTGTGGCATTAATTTTTAATTTACACTGCGAAACTTTTCACAGAAGGTTATCTTGAACAATCTCAAGTCTCTGGAACTCAAATCAGCCTCCAGGATTGTAATTTGTTAGCATAATTATGGATTTGGCTTCAAGCTCTCCCAGGAAATGTTCACTTTGTCTCTCTAGAGCATCCTGAAAAGAGTAATGGATGGCCAAAGGAATCAGGGACTTTCATAGTTTGGGCCTGCATGGGCAACTTCACAATCGCATGCAAAACACGAAATTGCATCTGTCTCTTTTTTTTCTTTTCTCCCTCTTTCTAAAGGCATTCTGCTAAAAAGCCTGGAGTTTTTCAACGATTGCAGAAACACAATGGGCAAACCAACTCTAATCCAGAAAACGAATTTATGCGTAAAAACAAAAGTTCTTGCTCTGGTCCCCAAACTCAATATTTGAAAAAGGAAAGAAAATACAGGTAGTTTCCTAGACCTCGTGTCGTTCTAAATTTTGGTTGCTTCCATTGGCAAGATGTAAATTCTTATGACACAACTATGGCTTGATGTTGAATTCGTATCAAACTAACTATTTGCAATCTGGTGGTGTGTAGCTAAATGTATCAGATGCATTAAGACCATTCTGAATTTGACAATCGAACCACTAACAACTACAAGATTCCGCCCATTGTTTCATGAATAAGCAGATAAAAAGTTCACACAAATCTTGCAAATTAATTAAAAGACACGATTACGTCACCTTTCTTGCAAAGGTAACAGTGAACTTGTAACTTTACTTTCAAATGAAGAAAAGCATGTTCATTAGTAACATAACCGTCCTTCAAGATGCAATTCAACGATGGTAAGTTGTCCCTGGAAGAAGTTTAAGCATGACGAGAAACAACAGCCAGTCAAAGAGAATCTCAACAAATTAACAGCAATGATCTTGCCTATGTTAGTTATATTGGTACCAAACTCCTTTCCTTTTCTTTTCTCCTTTTTTGGTTTTTGGGGCTCAAGATTGTTAGCTAAATTCTTACATAGAACACATGCATCATAGCCAACAGTTGCTTCTTAGAAATAAAAAATAGGTCCAGTTGCTGAAGGTCAAGCCACCGTAAGAGGTACCAGAGCTTTTTAATCTCTGACCCTTGGTATGGAATAGATTTGAAGATCAGGTATTGAGTAGCAGGGCTTCAAATAATCATAGAAAGGAGATAGTTCAGGGTCATATCATGCCGTGAACAGGCCTACAGGATTGGAAGCTTCGGCATGTAAACCCAACACTTGGACAACTATTTTCTAAACAAGCAATAAAAAAATAGAAAACAACATAATCCCACCATCGATTATACTAAGATAAAGATGTATATTATTGCATTTTATCATTGTTTTTGATAGGAGAACAATACCACACTGTGTTGTGTCATTGATGCATTATAAAGAAAAATATTGATTGAACAATTTTATAAAGAAATTAAATCATGCATCATATAAACTAGTTGAACATTAATAATAATAATAAGAAAGGAAAAACAATATCCAAATTGCATTGAAGGAAATAACTGGAAGAGCAACTCCTGACAACTACATGAAAGAGCAGCCTCTCTTCTTGGTTCATAGGAAAAAAAACACAAACAGCATTTTATTAAATGCTCCTACAAGACACTAATTCGAACATGGTACTAAAACATTTAAATGAAATTGGACAGACAGGGTCTTTTTCAGCTTTCATTTATTCATGCCAGTTGCATCCTTCACAGCCTCTTTGGCTCCATGTGCCTTCTCCATCATCTTCTGCCCAGTCTGTTAATAACAACAGATTTACGTATTGTTATACTCTCAAAGAAAACCAAAGGAAACTAGCTACTGCACTTGGGTTAATTGTCTAATTAGTATAAGTAATTTCATGATTTGGAGTTGATTTTTTTGTTTCAAACCTCTTGTATTGATTCCTTAGCAGATTGGGCAGCATCGGCAGCCTTGTCCATCAGGTTGCTAGCCTTTTCCTGAAATTAAGATGAAAGCGAAATGTAGCATTGTACCAATTTCCAGGTTCAACAAAATTTAGCAGAAACAAGAAACCTAAGTTCACCTGAGCCTGGCCCTTGGCCTCACCAGCTTTGTAGCTCATACTCTGGGAGTTGTCAGCCATATTTGATCTTTAAATTGTTTGGAATCTAAAAGCTGCAGAACGTAGAAAATATAGAAATCAGAGGTTGGTGCTGCACACCATCAACGATATTTCAAATTTATAGATTCAAAAACCAATTCATTTGTTGACACGTACAGTGCTACGTTGGGGGCAATTCCAGAGGTATCTCCTTTTGACTAGGGAACTCCAATGAATACTTCAATTTAAACAAAATCCCAAGGCAATTCCTGTTTTGACGGTAGCCACCTTTGACATATTCTTGGCACTGGAATCAGGGCAGCAAGAACAAACAATTAGTTTTTAAACATTAATCACACCCCAACTCAGCTCTAATGGCCCCCAAAAGCAAAACTCTGACCTGAATGGTTCCACTTCCAAGATCAGCAATTAAGCCCTCTCATAAGCTTAAAAGAAAATCAAATCAACCTACCAGGTTAAAGCAACTAAACAGTATTACCTAATTCCAATGAGTAAAAGTTTAGTAAAACGTTTATAGATATTCTTTCACTTAGGGATATGCATGAAACAAACATGTAATGAGATTAAAACCTTTAAAGGAAGAAGGGAAATTGCTCAAGGAGAGAAAAAGAAACAAAAATTGGTTTACCTTGGCATCTTAGCATGACAAAAAAAAAGTAGAAATCTTAAAGAATTACTCCAGATTTTCTACAAGCAGATGCACTTCCTTGATCTCATGGGGCTCAGCATATTGAATTGCCTCAAACATAGAAATTAAGACACGCATGAGCACTGAACGTACAAGAAGCATATAAATGTAGATTTTTTATAAAACGAATTAGTAAAAACTTGTAACTTGACATGTAATAACAATACTTTTTAAATATAGTTTAGTCGTTATTTTTATATTTCAATAAGATATAAATTCTTGAAGTTAAACACATAGAGATCAAGCTTAAAATCAAAAAAGAATTTGATATGGAAATGAAGATATATTAAAAAATTATTTAACGTCAACATTACTGTTGAGTGAAATGACTGAGATGAAATGGACTTGAACAAAAACATATTATCCAAACAGCACAAGATGTTACATGTTAAAGTCAAAGCTTCAACACTATATATTACACATATATTACACACCAAAGCTTCTTTCCTTCTACTGATGCTACGTACCAAGGCATGAATCACTTTTTTACATGTTAAGGTATATTCTATCAAACTTGAATCATTGAAAAAACTTAACACCCATAAACTCCAAAACAGGTTGTTACTTACCATACTATAATTTTTGATTTATAAATTGACGATGAGATGGTGAAAGATAGATAGAGAGAGGGTTTGTGAATGTAAACTAATAAATTCAAGAATATATTGTTATGTTTTATGTCATGCTCTTCGATCATATGACAAGAAAACGAGAAATAGATAGTGAGATAGTGATGGTGATAAAATTAAATAAAATTGGATGATGAGAGAAAAAAATGGAAAGCATAGTAGAAGAAAATTTGGGAGCAATTGAATATGAAGAGGTTTATTAAAGGCAATTTTGTTTAAATTTTTTCTCTTTGCTAAAAATAATTAAATTTAAAAAGAAGGTTATTTTTGAAAATACTCTATCTTTGAGGGTTAAAAAAAATTAATCCCTTATTTTATTTTTTAAATATTAATAATTTTTATAATTTCTTTAAAATATTAATAATTTATTATTTAAATATTAATATTTTTATAATTTAATCAATAATATTTTAAATATTAATATTTTATTTAAATCTTATTATGATTAAAATGTTAATAATTTTAATTAAATTTTAAATATTAATTTTTATAATATATAATTAAAAACTTAAAATTTTAATTATAATATATGATTATCTATTTTTATTTTATTTTATTTTATTTTTAAATATTAATAATTTTTATAATTTCTTTAAAATATTAATAATTGATCATTTAAATATTAACATTTTATTTATAATTTAATCATTAACATTTTAAAATATTAGTATTTTACTTATAATTGAAAAATTATTATTATTAAAATATTAATAATTTTAATTAAATTTAAATTTAAAATATTATTTTGTATAATATATAAGTAAATACTCAACCTTTTTATTATAATATATGATTATCTATTCTTATTTTATTTTATTTTATTTTTAAAATATTAATAATTTATAATTTATTTAAAATAATAATAATTGATAATTTAAATATTAACAATTTTAAATATTAATATTTTATCTTTAATTTAAATATTATTATTAAAATGTTAATAATGTTAATTAATTTTTAAATTTAAAATATTAAATTTTTATAATATATAATTAAAAACTTAAAACCTTTTACTTTAATTTTTTTTTATTTTCCCTTATAAGGGGTATTTTATCTTATTAATTTTAAAAGCTATTCTCCACTTATGGAATAGATGGAGTTTGCGATTGGCTAATCTTTGATTTTGGGTGATTTTGGAGGATAGAGATCGTAGAGGAATGGTTATTCCTTGGACCGTTTGGCAACGAAAGGAAGAAACAAATTTTTAATGGCTTGGCTATTCCCCAACCAATCATGCTGAAAGGGAGGTGAAGGTGATGGTGAGCATTGATTGAATAGACATATTAGCTTAAAAATACAAAAACACCCCCATTTATTTTATAAATGCCAAAATAACTCAACATAAAGGAGAAAGCATAAGTGAAAAGATCGAAGTAGGCTTGCCTTTTCATAAAATTTCAAAAATAGGCAGTTAGCAATTGAGAACTTAAGAGAAACCGAAAATAGGAAAAGACCACATTACCATCAATATTTCCTGAAAACCCCAAAACAACCTCAATGATTAAAAAAAAATTAGACCAAAATCCACCCCTTTTTTCCAAACTTTCCTAAAACACTTTATATAAAATCATGTGAATATTGATATTTACCCTTCACAAATAATCACTTAAACAGTCATAAAATGTGTTGAAAGGCATTCTTACACATAGTAATTAACCAAAACCCAAAAGCACCCTCCACTCTTTCACCATAAACACCTCTAATAAAGGTATGGAGCTTGAAAATCTCAACATGCCTTTCATGCCACTTGGAACAATCCCAATTTGAACTCACTTTCAATATATGGTATAGATTTCAAAGCATTCTATTATTGCGTGGATGGCCACTCTAGACAAATTAACTACTCTTCAAAGGTTTGTAATGGGCAAGATGGTACTCGGCACACGATTTTGGGATCCTCGATTATTTTGATGGTTTTGGTCCATCTTGTTGGAAGTTTACAGCTAAAATTTCTATAATTTCTTCTTATTCCCTATCTTCCCCACCCCCCAAAGTCATCTAGGATAGCTCTCTTTGTGGAAACAATCAAACAAGTAGGCCTATTCATTAAAGAATGGAAACAATCTTCTCATGGGTGAATCCCATATTTGGACGCTCCCTATTAAACATTCATGCCTTGCATGTAAGGCTACTGAGTTTCTCCATCTGACAATAATATAGGACCTTACGCTTTTGGTTTTTTCTTTTTCTGTTCCAATTGTATAGGTTGATGCCATCACTATGCTTTTCCCTAAACAGAATAGCAAACTTGTATCCAAGGACTTCCTTCTTTGTCAATATCATTATGAAAAATGTCAATGCTCTTGTTTTAAGTCTCAACACAAAATAGAATATCATTGCATCATATTTTAATTCTCCTTGCATTCTAAGGCCATACGAAATTATTATAGTATATGTTAAATGATATTTTTCTTATGTATGAGAAATTGTTAGTGGTCATAATTGAGTGTGTTATTATAGCATATGTTAAATGATATTTTTCTTATGAATATGGAAAATTATGGATGTAGGGATGAAAATTATATAGTTTTTTTTTTTTATCATTCTTATTTTTCCCTCATGATACCTTTTGAATAGATGTGTATAGAGTTGAGTTCCTTTTTGTGAGAGGACTTGTCCCTCTGTCTGGGAAAATCAAAGCATTATAAAAAAATTGTTTTGTATTTGACAAAATACTTTAAAAAATTTTTAAATAAAATTTTATTTTTTATTAATTTTATTAAATTATTATAGTTTTATTTTAAATTAATATTAAAATATTACTTACCATTATATGCACGATTTAATTCTTAGTGTAATAATTCTTATAAAGAAATTTACCCCACAAAAAAAACCTTTTTAAACTCGTTTAATCCAACACTACGCTGTCAAACCGAAAGCAAAAGCCCATTAGGCCCAACTCTTACTACCCTACTAAATAGAATCATCAGCTCTTTTCTCCGTCTTCTTCACCGCAGCAGCGGCTAGTTTCAGGCCTTCAGCGACATAGCCAGACAAGTACATATCAAACAGCTGCGTTGTAATTCAAATCCAGCCGCCCCACCTTCTAGCCTCAGCGACACCCTGGTTAGACTTTGGCCTCTTTCGTTTGTCCTGTTATGGTTATCCTGTTATTGTACGAAGTCGTGTTGATTATTTTTCTTTCTCTCACTAGCGCACGGCCACTTTCTCCCTTTCTACAACTCTTTCACTGTCCCTTCTCTCTCCAGTGGCTTTAGCTGTTTCTACACCGGGATAGTGGGGTTAAAGGGTTTTTAACAATTGAAGGGGGTATCGAAAGATTTCATTGTGAAAGCCATTTGGTAGGTGGGGGCCCTTTCAGTGTCCATGTTTTGTAGGGATATTAGGTTATGGTTGATTCTATGATATTACTCTCATGCTGGGGAAAGTCTGTGGCTGAATAGCTGGTGGCTGCAGACTTACCTCGGCATCCTTGTAATTGGTGTGAACATTGAATTAATGAAATTGATCTTTCAAAAAAATGAAGTATTATTGATTCTGCAATTCATGTCGGAATTTAAGGGGTACTTAATGTTTGAGCTTCAAATTGCTTATTTTATTCTTCAGTTTGATATATACTTGTTTGAGGAAGAAGTAAGTTCTATGGGTTACATTTAACAATTTATATGATACATTCTGTCTCTTTTTAATCGCAGAAAATATTGAAACTTTGAACAACAAGTCTACTATGAAGAAGAAGAGAAGTAGGGGGAAGGGTAAATGCCAATGGAAATTCTGAAGACGTGCTGACATTTTGTCTTTGAATGATATTTTTGGATATGTAATAACCTTTATAACGTATTTTTGTTTTTGTTTTTGTTTCAGTGGACAATTTGGTTGAAACCAAAGAAGAAAAGAAAAAGGATAAATCAAGCAAGAAGAAAAGAAAAAGTGAGGAGAAAAATAATGCCATCATTGGAATTGTTGATCAGCTCGGTGATGAGGAAGAAGACCATTTTCAGAAACAAAATGGTGAGAGTTTTTTCGTTGTTTCATTAAATGGTGAGAGTAAGATTAAAGATTTTATAAGGTATGCTGTGGCTGATACTGAAAGTGAGATTAAGAGTTGTGAATAAGTGATGGGTTTCGTTTGTTCTATTTAGAAATTCATCAGTTGACGTCAATATTGCAGTTTCTCTTCGGTGTTACATAATTGTTTTGGGTTTTACATTGTAGACAAATGTAAGAAGGATAGAAAAAAGAAAAAGAAGGAACACAGCTCGTCAGGGGAGAATCAACAGTTGGTGGAAAAGAGTAAAGTAGCTGATAAAGATGAAGTATATGAAATACCTTCAGGGGATGAAGACTGCTCAAAAGGAATGAAAAGTATGAAACTGGTGACCTTTCATTAAATATTTTAAGCTTTTGATGTTGTAGATAAGCTTTCAGACCGTTACTCTTTTCAGTCATATTATGGTATATATGCTCAATTGGCCTTATAACCTATTTGTCTAAATGTTGACTTCAACTTTGTGTAGGATACGTATCACAATATAGCAATGTCAAACTTGTAGTTAAAGTTCTATTTGGTTATTTGATAGAAATCAGTTTACCTTTTCTTTCCTGGGTTTTAAAATTTGATCATATATTGTCAATTGATAACAAGTTCTATCATTTTGGTTATTTTATTGAAAAACTTCGTAAACCGCAGAATGGGTTATCGAATACCACCAAAGTAGGCCTGGCTTGAAGGTTTTGCAACAAAGAATTGATGAGTTCATAATTGCCCATGAGGCAAAACTTGAACAGGTACTTTCTCTTTCTGGCACCCTCACTGGTGAATAATTTAGGCCTTTTTGGGAAATGAATTTGGTTCTAGCAGTACACAACTGGTTCATGCATATACTATGTGTTATGAATTTATGCCTTTACACATGATCAGTTAGAAATATGTTGTCTTTTTGTCTGTTTTGATACTGGAATTGCAGCTGCTAGTTACCTGTAGTTTTTCACTTACGTCATTATCATGATACAGGAAAGAAAAGAAAGAGAAGCTCATCTCACAGAAGGGGGTTGGACACTTGTTGAACATCATAGAGGAAGGAAAAAGACAACAGAATTTGAAAGTGGAACTACAGTGGGTTCTGTTTCCCAGGCTGCTGTGGAGGGGAAATTAGCTAAGAAGAAGAGCAAAGAGGTCTTTGATTTCTATCGGTTTCAAAAAAGAGAAGCCAAGAGGAATGGTATGGATGATCTTATATAGAGTTTGTTGTCTCTCTTTCTTAGATGTCACTCTTGAGTTTATTCTGAACATTAACCGTTAAAAGTTTGTAAAAATTTTGAGTTAAGGTGTGATTAATTATGTTGTAGGATCTTGATGTTAGAATTAGTTGCATTTCATTGTTGTATTTTTGTTTTTGTTTTTTTCATCATGATAGCCACCAGACAAAATTGTCTTCTTTGATATTAACTAATAAACCATAAAAAAGTGAAAAGAAGAGCTGCTCTATTCATTTGAGGTATTGCAACTAATTGGTTGTTTTCTTATGCCTATGGATTTTCATCTGGCTATGGCTTTGTATATGATGTAAGAATGTACTTGTTATTTACGTATATAAATACTAAAATAAGAACTTATGATTTGTTATGTACTTGTTTATTTCCTTGCAGAACTTATGATGCTCCAGAGCAAATTTGAGCTGGATAAAAAGCGTATCCAACAGTTGAGGACTGCTAGGAAGTTTCGACCTTACTGAGTGCAACCAAACCCTTATAAAAAACCAGGAGGTGAACCCATCTCTTAATTATATACTGATTGCTGTGTTTAAGAAGCTGAAGGCTGACTACATGTCGTTTGGAACCCATTTTGTGCAATTTTTATGGTTTTATAGCATACTGGAAAAATCAATTAGGATTGTAACAAGAATATGCACTTCTTCCATTTATTCCAGAACTCCCTCTATTTTACACAAATCTGAATTCTTTAGCAACTTTTGTAATGCTGGTTTGTGTGGGTGGTGAAACTACAGTTCTGTTCATCAAAGCCTGTGGCTTAGCCAGTTATGGCACTTTGGGATATTATGCATGTTTCCGGTTGATTATAGGTGTAGGTGTTGTCCATTTTCATCTTGCATGACCCTATCGGCACTGTCATATTCTGCATCTGCTCTTCAACTTATGGGCAAATTAAACTGATTTCAATTTTATCCCTTTTTTTTCATTATAGAATCACATGGAGTGAGGAAACTTTAAGGGTGGAAGGAAGATAGAGTATATGCAACATTGCCCCATTAGAAAATCATGTAATACGTGGGAAAGCATTTTACAGATTTCATGAACTCCTCTCAGATTAGGTTGCTGGTCAGAATTGTAGGAACAATTCTGAAAGCGGCAAGGGTAACTATAGCTTGCAAGGTGCAGCTTTCAATGGGGGAAATCTCCTGAACTATGTAGTACAAGTACAATTACAAGGTTATTGAGGCCAAAGAAAGTTGATCGTCAACTTCAAGCAATTAATCATATATATACCTCTTTGTCTGTAATGTTCCTAGTCATAAAGCAATCCATATGCCAATGTCCAGGGAATTCTATATCTAGGTTGATCAATTTGGTAGTTTTTATGCGTTAGAAATTGTTGTTCTTTCTAAATGGACAATTTATCTGTGCACAAGAGGCCCAAAAGGAGAAGTATAACGAAATATATAATGTAAGCTACACCGACCACTGAGTTGTACAGGAAGGAATCCAGCACAAATCATGCTGGACATCTTAATTTATGTCAAAAGGAAACTCACTAGCAAAAACACGAATATAAAGTAAGAAAAAGGTCAAATTATAAGATATTAATTGTGATGCTAAGCAAATGCAATGAAAATTTTAGTAGCACAAATAGCACACTTTATTTAATGTAAGCTCCAGTAACATCTAGCACCCAAATCATTTCCAAAATAACTGTCAAATGCGTAGATAAATCCTCAAACAATTCGCCTCTTCTGCACATAACCCCACAACATTTATTATAGAAAAACAACAGAAACAAATATATAAACTAAAAAAAAATTCAGTTCAACATCCTCATCCTTCTCATCCTTACTTTAGCAGCACTCCAGGAGCTCTTTTTTCCACAGTAGTATGTATTCAAACACATTGACTCTTGGACTCATGGTTCACCCCTACAATGTCAAGTATCCAAAGCTATAGAGCACTCAGATGGTATGGAACAGGTCGAAATCCAACTTCCTCATCCTTCTCATCCTCACTCCAGCAACATTTCAGAATTGACCTAGGCGATACACAGACATCAGCACCAATAAAGCTGTAGTAAATGACTGAACTGCCGTTCCCAAGCACATCAAATCTCCTTTCTTCACAACAGTACCCATTCACATCAAGAGGGATCCTATGTTCAGGTACATTTCCATTGATGTCAGCATGCAAAGATACAGAGAACTCAGTTGGCTTGAAACAATCCAAAACTCTCTCAATCAGCTGATTCAAATTCACAGTCTCAAAATCATAACCTGCTGCCTCAAAACTTGCATAACTGAAACCGTCTTCTGGAGTGACATGAATTGTTGAAATTGCATCCCTCTCAATTGAATTCATGGAGTAACCACAAGGGTCAAACTCAAAATCACATATCTGGGACTGTGGAAGAATCTCCCTAATACCTGAATGCTCAGTCATCAACGCTGCTGAACTTACATGTGTTTTGGAGAAGACAGATGCCTTCTTCTTGTCCAAACCAGTCATGCACATTTCTAAAGTAAAAACTGGATCTGAATGACCACTCCTTTCCGCATAAGCTGAATAAACATGCCATTTCTTTGTTTTATCAGAACTACCCATAATATAAGCCTTCCTACGAGAACCAAGCTTAAGAAAAAAGCGATCAAGGATTGCTACTTCCTCAGAGAAGTTACGATGTGGAAATGGTTGAGCCCCAGGAAATATGAAGCTCCCACGAGTGTACCTCACAGACCTTACAGAAAGTGAAAGGTTGTTAGCAAACTTCAGAATGGCAGGGATTGAAAGAAGCAATTTTGTAGTCCCACAAGTCTTGATGATGATTTTGTAAGGGTAGACAAAGAGGCTTGATTCAGAAAGAACATATGAATCAACATGATCATTTGACAGTGAAGAAACGATTGTGCATTCAGCTGGTTTCAGGATTTCATCCAATTGTATTGTGGATAAGGAGCGAAGGCCCACCCCTCGAGGATCAACAAATGAACCAGGGTCAAAAAATGACACCTCGAGCCTCTTTTCATAGCCTTCAAATCCAATTGCAGAGACAGGGAAGGCCATCTTGGCTTAAAAGAAACAACTGGTATTGCAAGAAGGAAGAATGAGAGAATAAAGAGGTAAGGAAGGATACAGACTAGAGTACTTGCAGTGTGATTGAGGCTTTGGGGGTTATGTCAAAACTTCGTGAAACTCAGGATGGTCTTCGAACACACTGCACAAATAAAGCATCAAAAAATGTCAATTAAAAGGGTCCATCCGTATTTATATGATGAAACAAAGACCAGGTCAAATTCAAGAACAAAAGCTCACGTTGGAGTAAGCAGCAGATCGAAATTTCTTGATTCCACCGTGAGGTCGAACGTCTTCAATGCTGTAACCGAGAGGAGCTTCGTAGAACAAAGATTTACTACTACTAGACTTCTTTTTCCCACCCTTGGACTCCATTAGATCATTCAGTCTTTCCTGATAGAGCCACCCAAATATAAATTAAGCACTAAAACAACTTCGCAAATGATGAATCAATCAATTAAGATACTCCAGGACAATGTAAATAATTAAGATGCACCACGCAACATTCACAAGGTAGTGAAAACAAGCAAAGAAGTACTAAAATTGATATTATTCCTCTCCATTTTTCTTTGTGGACATGGCAATTTTCAAAATCAGAGACAACAAGCTGTAAATATCAATTCAATTTCCAAAACTTTATAATAATAAACAGCGAGAGCATAATCTAATCTTTTGTTCATTCTCTTGAAGGTAAAACGATAACTATTCTATTTTAAAAAATGCAAAACTTTCTTAACAGAAAAAGCATCATGCTAGTATAATTGTTCGAGTGCTTTTTAACAATAGCAGAACGAATACCTCAGTAAGGATTAAGAGGAACAGTTAAAAACCATTCAAAGAAAACATTCAGCAGGGTGTTTCCAGCACCAGATATGCACTATATCCATTGATTTTTTTTTTCTACTGAAACAATTAAAATCATGCGAATTTTCTAAAGGGATAAAGCAAACATCAATTTGGGATAAACTGGCGAGTTTTAAAAAAAAAAATCTTTTTTCGTCCGAAATTAAAAAGAACAAAGAATTTCAACTTTCAAGGTAGAAATCACCTAAGTCACAATTACACATAAAAGGGCTTCTGAATTTTCTTTCCCTCAACACAGTACTAAACATAACTTATCAACAAAGAAAAAGAAAAAGATGGAAAATGAAACGCATGGAAGAACATAATAGTCTCAATTGAAGAAAAGGCAATACTCACAATGTAAAACAATCAAAACAAGTAGCTCTCCAAGAAAAACCCTTTTTCTGAACCTTTCGATCAAAACCTGAAACTCAAAAAGAAATCACAATCAATGAACCTACCAAAACAATTGCAAAAAAATCCAAAAACACAAGCAATAAAAAGGATAAAATAAACAAGAATTATCGTACCAATTCGAAAACTATTGGAAAAAGTTAAAGAAACCCAAAACGAATCCGACAAAAATCGACTAAGAATCAGAGGGTGCTTTCTTTTTCTTTTTGAAGAATTATTTGGTTTCTTTGGTTTTTTTCTTTTTTTCTTCTTCTGAGGCTTGCGCAGAGAGCTGTGGGTGGCCTTTTATAGTGGTAGTTGGGGCGCAAACTTAATACGGATGAGCTTTGCCAGTCCACCCGTAAGTCTTGCCGATAATTACGGTCGTACCCTTAATTTTTACATGAATTTTGCTCGAAGACACGATCTCTTTGTTGGATTTTAACCCCTTTTCTATTTTTCATTCTTTCCATAAAAAAATATTTATATACCATTTTTATCCTAATTATTATTATAGCATAAAAAATCTTAACTATTAATTATATATAAGGATGCGCCCTATCTATTTATAAGTATAATGATAAATTTAGATAAAATGTGAGACTTTAATTCTAGAAGTTCATTAAAAAACTCTTAAAAATTAATCAATTAATTATTAAATTGTTAAATGGGATAAATAATTACATTTTTTAGAAAATATAACCTTTTGATAATAAATTGGTAAAAATGGAAGAAAAAAATTAATTTCATTATTCTATTATGCTTTCCTTTCTTTTATTTTTTTATGTTATATATATTGATGGGCTTGATTTCATTATTTATAAAATAAAAATAGAATGAAAAATGAAAATAAAAATGAAATCAAATAAATTTTTATAATAAGAACTATTTTTAATGCCAGCGGTATATATTCGAGTCCTATTAGGCTATAACTATTATAATTTACAAAGTAGAGTGTGCTCCATTCTTTCATCTAATAATTCAAAACTTCAATGTCTTATGTATTTATTTATTTTTATACAATTTTATTTTTCTTGACTCAATAATTGATGCATCCTTGCACATATATGAGGTGACAAAAACTTATCAAACTCGAAAATTGCTTGAATTAACTCAAAATTAAACGCAATCCAATCTAAAATGGATTGAAAAAAGTCAAAGATTCAATACTGAAAAATAAATTATCCTTTAAATGATCCAAACTTTACACAACCAAAACTTGAAATGAAAAAAATCCAAAGTGACCCGAACTCGTATGATTCTAAACTTGAGACCATCCAATCGAAAAGCTGTAAGAACTTGAATTTGTCATCTAAAAGGATCAAAACTGTATTTAAATGACTCTTTTAAATGAACAAATGATAAAAGAAATTAAATAAAAATTCATATAATATTATGTATAGTTATTAAACATTTATATAAAAAAAATATTTGTAATCTTTTGATATTAAATATTTAAATTTAAACTAAATTAAATGTTATGTAAATTTACTGATGGATTATATTTAGTATGTTGTTTATCAAGTCAAGACATCTTTATTTTTCATTAATGTCAAAATGCTACCCAAATATTAAAATTAAAACAATATTATATCAATTAGTTTTAAATATCATAGTTTTAGATTACTTATAATTTACGTGGTACTCTTTTAATAATATTTATTATTCACTTCAATTAAACATTTGTCTGTCTGACTATATCTAATATTAATTTTCATAATTTATGTACAAACCAAAAACAATAGTTAAATACAAGAATAAATTTTTGAAAAGTTATAATGATTAAAAAATTAAAATAAAAAGCAGAAAAAAATCTGATATTGAGTGCATAATATAGATAAAACTATAGTATCATTTACATTTATATAAATATTTTTGAAAATTCATATTTTTAACACATTTTAATTTTAAAGCTGTTAAATTAGTCAAATATTTTACTTGATATCTATTATGAAAATGAAATTATTTACTCCATTTAATTATTTATGAAAAATATTTATTAACTCACATAAATTTTAAAATAACTTGATTTCTTTTACATTCAAATTGTTTTAAATTGAAAATGATTTGAATACAAAATAATTTAAATTTATGATCCAAAGTCAGAATAATTTTGAACCCAAGAGAACCTAAACCCGAACTTAAAAAAACTCTGAATCCAAAAACAATCCGACCTAAACTGGTCCGAACTCTCCCAATTATTATCTCCTTTTCAAAAATAAGGTTCAAAATTTTTTCTAAAATTAAAAAAAAAATCTATAAACAGTATGAGGGCAATTGAGTCATTCGGCAGGACAAGAAGAAGAAGAAAATGGAAATGGGAGTGGCTTTGCAAAGTTTAAGGAATTGGGATATACATACGGACATGGTCATTGGTGGAGGAGATAGTGATAAGAAGTTGACCAAAGGCGTAGAGAAGGATCCACGCAATGACTGACAAGGCACAACGTGTGGTCGTGAGCTGAGCTGGATTTCTCTGTCCTTTCTCTCTTCGGTTCCTTTCCATGCTTTGTCGTTTCATCCTAAATTTGGGGCCCACAGTATCTGCTGCCACAAAATCAATAAGATCCTTCAATTATTTCATAGTGACATAATTGCCCTTCCCTTGTCCTTTTTTTTCCGAAAATAGTAAGACCTTTGGGGTCCCACTCTTCGGTCTATACTCTGCAAGCGGTCAGCGGTTCTTTGTACTGGGTTCAGCCGAGCCCTAACTCAGTCCCCGGCTTCGCTAGAAACGTTCTTATAGTATGGCTGAACAAAATAAGAAATAATATCATATTAACATTATGGCAAAATTAAAGCTTAACCAAGGGATATCTGAAAAATATAAAAATAATAATTTTTTATTTTATTATGAATTGATTTTAAATTAAATATTTAATTTAAATTTTTATATTATATAATAGATCAATTATCTTTGCATGTGAAAAAAATTTTAAAGTGATAATAGTGATAAATTATAAATAAATAAAATTTAAAATATTTTAAATATATATAAACATAATAAGAATTCCTTTTTTAAAAATATCCAAAAATCAATAAATCAAGTTTAAATTTACATTCATTAATTTTAAAATGTTAAAAATTAGTATTCAAAATACAATATTTAATTTTAACCAATGTGTAGAGGTGTGTGAGCAAGGCTTAGGGGTAAGGTCAGGTGGTCTAAACCTATCATAGAGGTTAAATAAATGCAAAGATTGTAATGACAATTTCTAAAGTCTCTAGAGCTAATATGCCTTCTAATTAGTACTATGAACTAATCATAATTATAATAATGGCTATTGGATTGTCAAATCGTGTGATTGTCAACAATGTGCCAAACCACTAAATACACCACACGCAACTTGAGTTGCATTAAATATCTAGTTGTAAGCTTTTCATGTTGTGATGGTTTTGTAAGTTCAACTCAATATTAGTAACTCTTACTTATAAACTTAAAAGTTTTATTTTATTTTTTACCGCTATGTGAGATATTTTATTCAACCCAATTATGCATCGATTTTGTTGCAATGGGTCTTTTACCCATTAAAAAAAAAACTTATCTTGGATAAAATTTATTTCATTTTTAATATTTCTTATGTAAAATCTCATATTAGTGAAGAGTTAAATAGTCTCTAATACCATTAGTCACGAATCTATATTTTTAATCCAAATTTTTATTAAGTAGAAGAAAATTCTTGTAAATTCAAAACTCATCTCATATTTTATTGATGTAAAATCATGTATAAATTTCAAATATAAACTTGAAACGTAAATAAGAGATAACTATAATTAGGTTGAGGTATTTCACAAGCAGGGGCAGAGCGTTCCTTTATGATGGGCCCTCCCAAGTTTTTAAATTTTTTATATATTATATATTTTTTAATAATTTTTAAAAATAATGTTTTATTAAATAATTAAATAATAATAAAATAACTTTATAAACTTAGTTTAATTTTATTAAAATTTTTTATTTTTTTTATTTTTTTAAATTTCTCTATCCATATTTCTCTCTTTTCTTTTCTATTTTTATATTGTGAAATTATAAAGAGGTAAAATTTTTATTTAATTAATTAATTAATTAATTTATATTATTATTATTATTTTTTCAACTCTATTCTATTTGCTCATATATTTTAAGTTTTTATAAATTTTCTCTTTTAAATTTCTACGAATCATCAATCATATTTTTTTTTTGTTATATAAGTTATATCTCCTACTTGTTATGATTTTTTATTTTCTGTTATGTGAATTTTATTTTTAATAATTTTAATTTTTAAAAATTAAAAAATTATTGTATATGTAATTCTCAAATATAGGTTCTTGTGTTGCATTATTGATTATTGTTTAAAATTTCAGTAATATATTATTTTTATTAATCCTAATTATATAAGAAAAAATTATTTTGAATATATGTTTTTAATGTGTTTTACGTTTTATATTTAGTTGAAAGAAAATTATCTTGAGTATAAGAAGAAATTATTAATTATGTATATCGTATTTAACTATTTATATTTTATACATTATAGTTTAATATTTAGTATTATAAACTTAAATATAATAAAATAAGAATATTAGATGTTGACTACATTAATTTTTGAGTAATTTATATTGAGAAAGGTAAAATTTTGAAAAAAAAATAAATAATAAATTTTTTACAAATATTTAATTGTTTATATTAAAAAAGATATTGCCATTATCGAACAAAATTTTCTTAGAACACTATTATAAGTTTTTTTTTTTTTATTTATATGTTATAAAATTATTGTCTACTATAAATTTTTTGATTATTAATAGTTAAGTTCAATATATTAATTTTAAAATTTTTTAACTTTTATTCTTTTTAACTTTTAATCCTCTTAATAAAAATTGGCTAACTCTGCCCCTATTCACAAGCACCTTTGGTTCTGTAAAAGTTGACTAAGGATATTTCTATACGTAACAAGTAATAAAAGTATCAACACAGCTAATTAGAAACAAATCAACCAAGGAGTCCTTTGACGGTGACAGAATTGTATAGAAGGCATCTCCGGCAAGTAACATATATAGATATATGCATGGCCGACCTGTCTGAAGTCACGACATTAAGTTAGCAGTATACTATTACGTAACTATTATTCAATACCAGAATCTTGGAAGATAAGGATGCCAAACCAGTGACAGCATCTCAATGAGCTGGTTAGCATTAACAAACCTCTGCTCACATTAGCATCTCTTTACTTTGGAAGAAGGACATGTTTGATCATCTACAAAATGAACCCTACCAATTCACCATCATTCCAATTGCTTCAGCAATTCAAGGATTAACGAACACATCTTTAAGAGGCTCAAGCTCTTTTATAGAAGGTATTCTAAGATTGAAAGAGCAATGCAAAACTAAAACAACTGCTATAAGGAACTTTCTTAGACTTTCAACTGTAATCTTAGAAGACACCATATAAAATATCAGTTTCGTCTCCTTGAGACTTGGCTAATGTAAAATATAGTCCAAACTCACATTCCTGAAGACACGAAAGAAACCAGAAAAATTGCAGGTTCAAAGTCATGAGCATAAGAAACTCGCCAGATCTTCTTAACCCTAAGCACTCTTTATCCCACATCATGCTGTATGTCAAACAGTTCACAAAAATCAGCCTAAGAAAGTATGTTGAGACAAAACTGATCTACAAGTTTCCCAAATCACCCTTTTGCACACAGGCCCAATGCTAAATGTTCACAGGGAAAAGCATGGCATGCTACAAAAGCATATAAGGGCAATTACAAGCTTATGCAGCATGAAGAATGTTTAGGAATGTTTTAATATTATTCAATTCATCTGTCAGCAGTATCCAGATATTCCTAATATAACGGTAAATCAAAACTTTAACCACTGCAGTTTGGCTTTAAAACTCATTTTCGAATAAATTTGAAGCTGTTCCATAGTTCCATACTGCTGAGGGAACTTGAGAATGATTTGAGAATGTTTTAACATGACAATTCACTATAAGGAACATAGGAAACCCTTAAATAAAGAGAGAGTAGGAATCCCATGATTAAGTTACTGAAACAGACTGAATTTTTAACTAAATGGCTTAAAATAATGCAGTATTGCAAACATGAGGCTGGGACTTCGAACCCAAGTGTTACAAGGAAGAGAAACAGAAGTGAACAAGAAAAATAGAGAACATGAAGATGAGAAAGGTAGTGGAGAAGGAACCAACCTACCAATATATTCTCATGAAACTGTAGAAGAATATAGCAGAAATAACATTAGAAGCTAAGACATCAGGCTAAGCATATGCCAGCATACTCAGAATAATATAACATTAGTTAAATGAGGTAAGAACAAATCTACAAGACAGTCTAGCAACCCAGGGCTCATCAGCAAAAGGTCTCAAGTTATAGAGATCAGCTACTAAATAAGACCCCCTAAAGAGTCAGTAACTCCTTCTGTACACACCTTTTAACCACATTAGATTTTGTTCCACATAATGCTTTCCATCACCCCTTTCAACTGCAATCATGCTCCTCCCTGTCCTAACTATTTTTGCCTTCCATGAGATTTTTGACAACCACTGCAAACAAGTTTATCAGCATGGAATAACTCATCCACTGATAGAATCAAAAGCAAATCCACCAAAGAACAAGAATCCGTCTAATACTCAGTGGCCGTCCTACCCTTCAATAAGCCTTCTGCTGTATTCGAACTTCCTGCTTTACGAACTCAATATGTCCACAGTGAAAATCCTTCTGCAATTCAGTTTGAGAATGCCAAAAATACTATTTTCTTTACTTTTAGATGTTTTATTCCCAAGACATCCCTGAAAATAACAATATCCTTGAGTCGTTGTCTTTTCATATTCAAGACACAAAATAGAAATGGTATTCTCTATGCAATTGTGCTTAATATGTTGTAACAGTAAAAGTCATTGTATAATTCTTGGTCAATATGTATGCCTCTTGCATAGTTGCATTTATGCCCAGGCAGATTTGAGTACGATTGACAGTCCTGTCCACCATTTACTAGCCTTCTCCTAAAGCAAACACCAAAAACATATCAATATGATTGTCTATAGCGTATATCACACAATATAATCATGCTCACATAACTATTTAAGTATGCAAGAAAAAAAGTTACTATCAAGCAGTAGAAACCGGGATTTGGTGCGTCACATTTCTAAATTTTAAAGAAATTTATACTTAAACCAGTTCATTTCTTAACATCTGTAGAGCCACATGGAAAGCTATTTGAGATGCGTCTCATTGTAACCAGGATGCTCTAAAGCATCACAAATAACGTATGTAACTGAAAAGACATCTGAAAGGTCAGTTTACGATTGTAACTTCCTCTGCTCGATATCCTTCAGTATACTCTTAGACATTAATCCCCTCTCAACCACATGGTTCCAAAAGAACCCTAAAATGCTATTATCACCAGCATATGAAGCATTGAAACATCGATAGATTTTGAGAGTTATCATCAACCTTCTCTTATACATTTCGTTTAACACATCTGAAGCAGCATTCACCTTCCCCATTTTCCAGTAAGCATAGGCCAGGCTAGTGTATATTACACTGTCTCCTGATATACCTTTTCCTAGCATAAGAGTGAATATTCTTTGTGCACAATCAACCCTTTCTAGCTTACAAAACCTCCTTATGAGTGCCCTATACACCGAGACATCAATACAAAGGCCTCTTTTCAAAATTTCATCTGGGAGCTTCATAACTTCTTCTTCATTGCCTTGGTTGCAGTATCCATCAACAAGCCAGGAGTAGGTGGAATAATTTGGAGAAAACCCTGCATCAAGCATGTTGAACAAGAACTCTATAGCACTGTCCATTTCACGCACCCTGCAAACTCCATGGATCAATGCCCTAAATGTAAATTGATCCAACTTCAATCCAGCCTCCACCATCTTGTTCTTCACTTTCATAGCAGACCCCATATCTCCAATCTTGCAATAAGCATTGATCAATGTGTTACAAGTGACATTATCAGGTTCAACTTTCTTTTCACTCATCTCATTCAACACCCGATTTGCTTCCCTTATTTCACCTTCTTCACACAACTTACGGATAATTGAATTATAAGTAACAACTCCAGGATAAATCCCCTTAGCCTCCATCATATCACGCACTCTTAAAGCTTCCCCTAGATCATTCACTCTACAATAACCATCAATCAAAGTAGTATAAGTCACATGGTTAGGACTTACACCTTTAATTTCCTTAAAAAGCCCCACAGCCTCTCTCATTCTACCTTCTCTACAAAATCCATAAATAAGTGAATTATAGGTTATAATATCCGGACTAATCCCCGCTCTTTCCATTCTATCTTGCACGCACAAAGCTTCATAATGCATTCCTTTCTTACAATACAACGCAATCAACGTATTATACGTGAAACGATCAGGAAAAACACTCTTCAATTCCATCTCACTCAGCACCTTTTCTGCCTTCTCGACATCACCACCCGTGCAACAAGCATGAACCAGCACATTGTAAACATGTAAATTCGCAACCACCCCAAGTCTAACCATTTTCTTATAAACTTTCCACACATTATCAATCAATTTTTCTTTAACTAAACAATTCAATAGCACAGTACAAGCGTGTAAATGAGGCTTTAAACCATGAAGTCTCATAGCCTCAAAAACCTGTAAAGCATCTTGGGTCATTCTCAATTTCCCATAAGATATCACCAGCCAACTCAAAACATGAGAATTCACTTCAAAGTCCGAATGGGTACTCACCAAAGCATTCAAAACAGAATTTGATGACAAGAAATCTTTGTTTGAAATTTTTCCGAGCAAGTTATGTGCTGTCTTGAAATGTTTGTGTTTTGTAAGAATATGGACCATTGTCCACGTGGATTGCAGAGAGTGGTTGTAATTTGGAATAGAAATTTCGATCCATTTAAAGAAAGACCACGAAAGAGAAGGACTGGAACAGAAAAGGGAGAGCTTGTAAAGGAAGTAGTTAATGGTAGCCGAGGTTAATTGGGTGCAAATTTTGGGTTTCAAAAGAGTGTTCCAATGACCCTTTAGGATAATGGTGAAAATAGTTTGTGAGAATCGGGCTGAGTTGTTTTGAGGAACTGAGTTAGCCATAGTTGATCTAATTTCGCTTCATTTTTTGGTAGAAGGAATCTAACTCTCTGTCCCCTTTTTGCAGGGCAGTGACATGCTTTAATAGCGGTTGCTTAGGTGGAGGACGCTTTAATTTCTTCCTAGAGTTTGTGTTTTGACGGAAATCTGATTATTGCAAATGTTTTTAGTACGAATGCAATTGATTGGAAATTTATTATTGAAAATATAATATTATAATATTTGGTATATATATAAAAATATTTATTAAAGTTTTTATTTTGTATATAAAAATATAAAATTTAATAAACCGAAAGAAGGTGAATTTTTAAACTTTCAAATTTTAATTTTGTAAAATAATAAATAATAACTTGATAAAAAATATAATATTTAAATTTTAAAATATGTGAAGTTATTAAATTTTTAATTTTTATACTAGTGCTCAGAACTTTTTAAAATACTTATTATTTTTGTAAAAATGCCTAGAAATATTACAAGAATTATAAAAGACATTTTCAAAGAGTTTTCTAATTTTTTTTTTATCATTGAACTTCTTTGACTAAAGATTTTTTGCTTTTGCTTTCATTTTTAGAATAAATAGCAAATGCTTTTGGTAATATTAGCAGTGGCAGTATTTTATTTTTTATAATCAATTTCCTCTTAACTGATTATGGTAATAATTATGTACGTAAATAATGAAAAAGAAATATATATATATATATATATATATATATATAAATGAATGGTAGGGTTAAGGCTAAATTAAGACAACAAAAATAACAACTTTTCCAAAAGAATGAGGAGAATATTGCCACCCAATTAACATCCCGCAAATGTGACTCAATCTTTATACTACTCAATCTCGACTTTTGTTAATTAAAACATCTAATTTAATCATTAAAACCTCTTCATGAGAAAATGAAGACAAAATAAAGATAATTAACTAATTATTATGTTTTCTTGTTTGCTAAGTTTTCCTTTGCTTGATGTCTCAAAACTTACAAAATATTTTTTAAAGATATTTTTAACATTAAAAATCATAAAACATCAATTATATATATAGAAAAAGATAAAACGACTGTTAGGTGGATTTTGTTAAGTTTTCTTACAAGTTTGTTACAATAGCAGCAATGCATGAAAAGGATTTAGTGAAAATGAATTTGAGAAGATGAATTGAAGCCTTGGTGGGCACTTCCAAACACAATTATTTGGTATGTGTGGCATCCCTATGGCGTCTGGAAAGTTTCCTTCATCTTATGTTATGTTACTCACATCTGGAGCAGTGACTGGAGGATGAAATGCCCTCAATAAGAACATATCCCTTTTAAGTCACCCTGATTGCTTTCACCAGCTAATGCCACCACCAATCTTATATCTATTGCTAAAATAAGTTCATCACAATGCAAAGACAGCATGAAGACAAGGTACTCATTAGAAACTAGTGCCTGGACAAAACAAAACAATATATATATACATTTCTCTGAGTTGAGTTGAGTTCCTTCTTTTTATTTTCCTTTTTTCCTTTTTTTTTCACACAATAATCACAAAGTTCCATCATTGTATCCAAAGATGGTTTATAAGTCACCACAGCTGTTTCTACAGTCTGAAAAGATTTAGCACATACGGCATGAATCTGTGGACTTTCTTAAGCACATCAACTCCTGAAAGCGAAAGCAATTGAGTGTAATTGCTTCGCCAACAAGAGGAGAGAATGAACAATCAGTCTGTCAAGAAGTCAGTGTTCGGCATATGCATCTTAACACACTCGAGTGGCCATGGCAAGAAATGGAAAATAATGGTAAGAATAAGAATGTACATGTTGACTGGCAGCTTAGCCCGCCCTTAGATGAGCAAACCTTCATTGCAGTTGTTTCTGCTTCCTGATAAATTCTGTAGATTGCATAAGCTTTCCATTTTTCTTCTCATACTCATTTTTTGATTCTTCTAAGCTTCTGGATACCTGACAATGAATCAAACATATATATATATATATATATAGTAATTAACTTAAATTCATTACTAAGCTCACAAATGCACCATAAAATATTAATAAGTCACGATGCGTACTGTGGAAGTGATAAAACATAGTCATTAGTTTTTAGTGCAAGAAATCATTAACATGGGTATCCTAGCCCTGAGCAACACATTAAACCAGGCTTTTCACAACGACAGTTGAATAAATGGCTGTTCACACTACCGTAAAGAGCAACATCATACAAACTAAGCAACAGGTGATGCAAGATTCATGCATTTCTTAAATATTCCATACAATCTCCGCCTAGCCAATTTTACACCATATAAAGTCCTTTAATTTGCATTCGAAGTTTCTAAACTCTTGTTCAGTAAATGATAAAATTTCCACTACTGACATTCAACAAAGTTTTACACTATTGCCTATGCAAAACAAATTAATTATTCAATAAGGGGAAGACATCCAAAACTATTAAGACATTGGACCAAATCAAGAAATTTCAAGCCAGAGCAGTTCATGCACGTGCTATTAATAAAATCAGCAAACACAATCAATATGCAAATCATCAAACAGAAATTAATCAACAAATGCATGCAAAATGATATTACAAAGTTAAATCTTTACATAATTCAAATAAATGTTCATCACCAAGGCTGAGAGAGAGAGAGAGAGAGAGATCATCATGCCACAAGAAAATGCACACAGATCTTAGAAATGATGGTAATTACAAAATTTAAAATACTTAATGCTGTGAATACTTGTGTGTGTGTGTGTATGTGAGACAGAGAGAGAACCTTGATTGAATAAGCCATAGGCAGCAACGTATCCGGATCCATTGCATCCTCAGGGAAGTTACGCAAAGCATGAATGAGTTTCTCAAAGGATAACTTTATCTGATGAAACAACAGAACCACCATCTTTAAGCAGAAGAAAAAAAATAGGTAATTGGATCTAAAGCCGATAAGATGTCCTGAACTACTTACCAAGTCATCATGGCAATATTTTAAAAGTGCCAAACCAACTTTAAAGACAATCTTGACACCCTGGAAAAAGAAAAAAAAAATTATTCTTTTTTTTTTGCTGAAAGAATTTCTTTTTACTCAAAACCAATTTTCAGGCCATGTGGCATGTAATTTATGGTATGGCTGGAACATAGATCAAATTTCAAATAACTGACCTCATAGAGAAAGACATCCCAAATTCGAAGAGCCAAAGGGAACGGGAATGAGTATGAGAATACAGTTATGAACCACTGGCTAGCATACATGCTTGGATTTATCATCTCCTGGCTAAAATGCTCACCCAGCTTTGGCAAGTGCTCCCTCACCAATTGTTCAAATTGAAACAGGTATTGTTGTACAAGAGGCAGCCCCACCTACCAAGTGCATACAACATTTTCAAACAACAGAAACAATATAGAATTAATTGATTGCTACTTAAATATGCTCTCTGCTCAGTAACAAAATGCACCAACTGCAGGTGGTAAAATACAAGGAGGAGCACCTAGAAGAATGAAAGCTCCTAAACAGATAACATACAATAAATTCCAAGGGAGTTGAGTTACAGTTATTCCCTCAAAGAGCTGTTAGGAATACCAATTAACTTACAAACCAGAGTAGAATGCCAAATGTTCTACATAACCAACCAAACAATATGACATACCACCAAAAAATGATGGAAGAGAGATTCTTTGGAAGAAGCAGAAATGAGAAGCCTAGTTCTTATTTTTCAAACCAACATAACTTCAAAAAAGTAGAAAAGACAAAAAAGAAAAGGCTGAAAAGAGAGGTTAAGTACAAAACAAGTCCAAAATTACTGGTTCATTTCATCACAGTGCCCTGCTGTCCGCTAAGATTGTCTAAGATATTAGCAGATACTCTATAAGCATGCTAACAGATCTGATAAGCACGAAAAACCATAGATCCCATTCATAATCTAAAATATACAATTGCCGTTGCAAAATTAATCTAGGCACAAGTCATGGATTCAGTCACAGAACTAATAATAAATCAACATAAGAGAGAATTTAAAGTCTGACACCAGAAGCTGGTATAAACTACTATAAAGTCATATGTCATTTTCTGAGTAAGAGACAGTTGGCAATTACAATCTATCCTAACTCCTCATTAAACCATTAACTACCTAAAATGTTGCGTCTCAGATACCAATAGAAGTTTTTAGAATACAAGAAATACCTGATATAATCCTTCCATAGGAGCATGAACAGCTCCTTTCAGTAATGCAACCAATAACCAAAATGCATCCTCTTCACTCATATAAAGAAGCAAAAGACCTGCTAAAAAACCCATTCCCTGCATTTTGAACAAAAAGAAAGCATTACTACCTTGGACAAAATATATGAGGGCTAAGACACATGAAACAAACCTGGACATAGCCAACATCTCTATCGAAGACGGAGTATGCCTTCAAAACATTGTAAAGGGACCTTTGACCAGGTCCATGTCTCTGCTGAAAGAAAACATGTGATGGAAAGGTGCGAGATATATCCCGAATTATATCTAGTTCTGAAGCTGAGGTCTCATATATTACAAGTTGCTGCAACAGACATAAAGTTTCATCAGCAAAGCACATGAAGAACAAGGAAGAAGACTATCAGTAGAAGAAAAAAATTTCAAAAAAGAAAAAGAAAAGAACCCTTCAAGCTCAGAAAACAGTTTTGAGTCCAAAAGAGAACAACAATTTTTTTCCCTCAAAAGCAAATGAGCAAATAACTTTCCAGCAATCAGACCATCATCATCAACCAACCATATATTAACCTGCTCCATCAAATAATGAGCAAGGATAGATAGGGCAGGACAAACACTTGATCCAACGAACCCAAAAGTTACATAAAGTGACAAAAAATATTTTGGCAGTTGGCACCATTATCACCTGAAATGCCAATGCATAAGCAATTTACAATGATGTTTGAATTTTAAAGATTGATTTTTACATTAACTCAATGACCTTATACAAAATTCAGATAAAAGCTGGCATCCATAAAGATACAAACAAACTAGAATGAAAGGTAAGCTACTTAAAACACGAAAAATTGAGAACTCTTCTCAGATCTTCAAAAGCCAAAAGTAGTCATCTCCTGCAGGAAAACAACACCCCTATTTCCCAATCTTCTTAACCATCCTTTTGTTTTAAATGTCAACAGTTTTATAACCCTAAATGACCACTTCAAAACTGTTTTTCATTTCACAAACTAGGCCATGTATGACATCTAAAAGGGTTTGGTCTGACATAACTGAACCTGGCTCTGCCAATGAAATCCATATTGGATTGAACCAGCATATTTGTCAAACAAAATGGTATGTTACAAGTTGCAATGATTGGGATTGAGCTCCAACCGTAATGAATCCATTCATGGAATTGTATAAAAAAGGATTTTAGGTGGAGTAAATAGAACCACTATTTAAATTTTCAGACACCAGTCTCATCAAATGATTTACAGAAACCTGCTTAAAAGACTATAAGATGAAACTGATGAACTCATTTCCCAGCTCATGCTTATAAAAGCTTGAGGTTAAAGTTCATGAAAACAAGAATGTTATAGTAATAGCAAGCAGGAGCAATCATAAATTTATCCTGGCACAGAAAGAGACTTTGGTATTTTGTGATATTACCCAATCCATCTATTAGCAACTTCCTAATAATGCTTAATGCAATCATATCAAAAACTGCTGTAGAAAGTTTCCTTCAAATTTATATTTTCAAAACCTCAGCTGCCATCATTCCCAACAAGTACAAGGTCTGGCATTAAAACCAATTTTGTTAAATTGAAGTAGTGTTCAAATTCCCAAATGATGAGGGAACTGGGTGCATTTTATCAAACACAATATTCCTTTTTCTTTTCTTTTCCTCTTCTTTTGATGACTCAACCATAATTTGATATAAGAAACAAAAAAACTTACAACAGTAGGTTTGATGAAAGTCCAGACATAAAATAAGACAAACCCCAGTTGTAATTTAAGTTAAACGATATAGCATGCATGAGGTTAGCATTAAACACCCAAAGGTTGCATTGACGATATAGAAAGCATGATCATAGGATAAACAAAAACACTAACAAGGTAGGAAGGAGGCTAATATTTTCCCATGAGTGTTGGAGAACTTAGCAAAAATAACATTACAAGTTAAAGACAAAAAATAAAAATAAAAATTCAAGCAAAGGCCATAACATTCAGAAATAATAAGTATACCATTAGTTAAAAGAGAATGAGCAAAGCTACAAGTAATTAAAAGAAGTACCTCATAAACCCCAGGGTTCATCAGCAAAAGGTCCCGACTTCCTGAGATCAACTGCCAAACCAGACCCCTTAAACAATCAGGAATTCCTTTCCTTATACGCCTTTTGACCACATGAGGCTTTCTCCTAGCATAGTGTTTCCAATCACTCCCACCAACCCCAATCATTTTTCTCCATTTTCTAACCCTTCTAGCTTCCCTGAAAAATTTCAACAACCATAGATGACAATCATAATAATGTTTGCTAGCACAAATTATAAAAACATAAAGAGGGAGAATTGCACTCATATCAACTAAAAGAGCTTGAACAAATACCATTAGAGAAAAAACATACCTCTCATATTCAACGGCTAACCTACTCTTCACTAAACCATCTGGAGTGTTACTAACATCCTGCTTTATAAACCCAAATCTGTCCACGGGTCTTTGCGAAGGAACTGGTCCTGGTTCATGGTCATCTATTGGTCTTCTCCTTTCCATTTCACTAATTCAAAGAAGCAAAGACATGCCTAGAGGCAAACCACATAACTTTCTATCCCTTGGCATGATAAAGCACTGGGAAAATGTTTGATCACATATACAGGCAGAATCTGAAAGTGGAAAGAAATATCAATGATGACACTTACAGTGACTATTGCCCTGACAAAAGTAAGTGAATTCTAAAAAGACAAATCTATTCATCACAGAGAGTCTAGCTAAAATAATGAAAGCATCGAATCAGCTGACCTTGCTGCAGGCTGCAGCTATCAAGAATGATATTTACAACCTTCTATTCATCCAAGCAAATATATGACAACTTTGATTTTGAAAGAATATGAGCACATACCACATGCTTATGTTTAAAAATTATAATCACATTCAGTAATGAATATAGAAAATGGTATCAATAACAACAATGTGGCAAATTCATTTTACTAATAACAATGTACAACAAGGGAAGTATAATCTAAGAAACAAAAGGCGAAACAAAGGAGGATGATATAAGGTTATATACTACAAGACAAAAACTTGAACATTTTTCATTAAAACAATCACCGTTGGACTCTCTTTTTATGGAATCACCATTAGGCTTTGAACAAAAAACACAATCAAGTAATTAAAAAAAAAAAAAAGGCTCCACAGGCTAAATCATGCAAATTATAAAAATAAATGTAAACAAGAAGATAATGGGGAGAAACTTAGAACCCATCAATGTTTATGAAAAGGGTATTATCATGAAATCGCCAACTAGCCAATGAATCAAGAGAAAAGAAATCAAAAACCCATATTGAAAATTATAAAACAAAAAAATACCAGGGCGCCTACTGATGAATTTCAGCCTGATCAAAGAGAAGCTTATCTATTGTGCAAAATTGGTTTACTATCCCTAAAAAAAATGCTAAGATTGGTAGATTGGTTATTGGTTTTCGCTGGACATCTTCCCAAACCAATCGAAGCTCTATGCGTGGTGTTTAGTGTTTACCATACTGAAAAGTGCACCTCAACAACGGAAATGACATTTTCCTCTCCACAAAATAAAAGCCCTCAAAATGTGCACAAAATTACACTCGATGCCACTTGTGGGAGACACCTACTTCCCGGCCCACTTGAGCTGTTGAATGCCCAAAAGCCCAAATTCCTGAAACATCATCCATGTTTTGGAGCCACACATACATACGGAAGAATATGATCGAACCATCCATAGCTTAAAATTGGATAATCTTTTTCCTTTGGGCCGTTAGATCTTCTGCAAAGAAGCTTAACCCAACAGAGAGAAAATGGTAATAGCCCTCTGTCCATTCCATCCCTCAGTTTCATCCCCATGTTCGCAAGCTCTTAAATCCAGGTAAAAAAGAACCCTTCTTCGGCTTTAAACTATCAACTTTCTTACGTCTATGCAGCTTTAGTTGGTATTCTCTCTCCCCGATTTGTAGTTGTTGATGTACTAGGGACATGGCTTGTTTTACCGTTGCTTGCAATAATGGATTTTTTGTTAGTAAAGAAAACTCGGTAATTGCAAGTGGAAAAACCAAGTCTTTTAGGAGATATAATAGCTTTTCTAGTAGTTCATTTTGCTTTCATTCACTTAGAATATATAATTATAACCGTAGCAAAACCCAGAATTTGTTTTTTTCTGGTGATAATGGGCTTAGGTTGGTTAGCAATGGAAGAAGAAATGGGGTTCCTTTATTGGGGTTTCAAGTTTGTTGCAAGGCACATAATGGGTTATTGATGAGGGGAAATAATGGAAATAGGAAAACCCGATTAGGGAAAAGAGAAAGTAGTAATATGAGAAAAAGATTTTCATTAAGATTGCGTCCCAGGTTGCGCTTATTAACAATAAGAATGAAGAGAGTTTCGGTTTGGTCAATGTTAAATGATATTGGAATGTTTCTACGAAAGAATATAAGAAGAGTTACTCTCTACAGTACAATATCTCTAGCGTTGGCTATGTGCTATTTGTTCTTGAAATTAACTGCATTGCCATCTCCTAAGATCGTTCCTTACTCGGAGTTGATAACAAGCCTCCAGAATAGTTCTGTGACAAAGGTTTTGCTAGAAGAGGGTTCTCGTCGTATATATTTCAATATGGATTCTAAAAGTGCTGAAGATACTCAAAATTCAGAAGAAGAATCTTTGGCAGTGAATGAATCAATTGAAAATGTAGCTGATATGGCTGCACAAGATGATGGTGTGGAAGGTAGGCGATTGCAAAAACAAGGTCTATTTAAGAAAGTTTCAAGACCTCAAACTTCTACTTCTGAGTGGCAGTATTTGACAAGAAAAATTGATCATGATGAAAAATTTCTTCTTAGTTTGATGAGAGAAAAGGGAACAACTTATAGCTCAGCTCCTCAATCAGTTCTAATGTCGATGAGGAGTACTTTAATAACAATACTATCCTTGTGGGTTCCTTTAACACCTTTGATGTGGCTTCTATATCGTCAACTTTCTGCTGCTAATAGCCCTGCAAGAAAGCGGCGTCCAAATAATCAGTTTATTGGGTTTGATGATGTGGAGGGAGTTGATACTGCCAAGTTGGAGCTTATGGAGGTAAGCACTTCTCTTGAAGTTGCATAAAATGAATATCTTTTTTTTTTCTTTTAATTTTTATTGTCAAGACTTTCTTTCACATTGGCTGCATTATGGAATTAATGATGAGGAGGTCTTTTTGCTTCTTTTCTAGAAATCATTCAAATTCGTTCTGAATATAATATAGTCTACGGAAGCTAGAATCCTGCAAGGCTGCAACAATAGTTTCATTGAATATTACTTTTAGGGCGTTCAAGGATGTCATAGATTTACTATCTGTATTATAGGAACATGAATCTGATATCTTGTATATTGCATCTACACTTTTCATCCTCATTCACAAATACAAATCATTCCTAATCGAAGACATTAGAGGAGAGAAAAGGGGAAAACTATGAGTTAACTGTTGCATATTTACAAAATTGTCCATCCTTATTTAGATTTACCGTGTTATCTTAACTTACAAAGGGTATAATGATAAAATAATATACCTTACATTTTCCAACCCTACCAAGCAATGGATGGAAAGAAAATGTTTTTTCCAATCCACTTTCTATCTTTCCTACCAAGCATACTGATGGAAGGAAAAAGTAGGTTTTCCATCTTTTCACTTTTCTCCTCCAATTTTCCATCTTTCTATTTTTCTATCCACCCTACCAAGCAAGGCCTAAGTTCTTTTCTGGGTTTTGAAATAGGAAAGTTAGCATGTAGAGATACCTTATATGCCTTTGATCTTCCCTTCTTACGTTTATTTGCTTCCTAAGGCTTTTGAGTCTTATTTGATGATATTGATTATAATAGTGTGGCCCTTGACATGTTGCACTTAGTTAGCCAAAATCGAATTATTTGGTTTTACAAGATCCCTAGGTCATGTAGCAGGGTTTTGCTAACAGGGTGTCCTTTCTGTGGCTTACTCTTGTTTGTATTAATATATTATCATGGAAGCTTCTAGGTCTGTTTGGAGACAGAGTGATAAAAGAATCCTTTATGCAGATACTTTAGATCATTTAGCTCTTTGTAGTGCACGCACTAATTTGTTAGAGGTTTTAGATTGTTGTCATTGTATAGATGATGTTTCTTATATTTATTATTATGAACTAGGTTTACTGAATCTCTCATGAATAATGAAATACGTTTTTGCTGGCTAGCTCTGTTGACACAAAATCTTTTTTGTAGATAGTTTCATGCCTTCAGGGATCTATAAATTACCAAAAACTGGGAGCAAAATTGCCTAGAGGTGTACTGCTAGTGGGTCCACCTGGAACAGGGAAAACATTACTAGCTCGTGCAGTAGCTGGAGAAGCGGGAGTTCCTTTTTTCAGCGTATCAGCTAGTGAATTTGTTGAATTGTTTGTTGGAAGAGGAGCAGCTCGAATTAGAGATCTTTTCAATGTGGCAAGGAAATCTGCACCGTCGATTATATTTATTGATGAACTTGATGCAGTTGGAGGGAAGCGTGGTAGAAGTTTCAATGATGAACGAGACCAAACATTGAACCAGGCAATTTAACATTCAACCCTAGTTGCATTGCTTATGTTCTTTTCACTTATTTATTAAATTCATTACTGTTCTGATCAAATCCAGGCTTTAATAAACATTTATCACTTCTGTGTAAATATGGCTCTTTAGAATCAGACCACTGTTTTTTATTTTGTTCTGTCAGAGAATCTTATTTAATCTGAAAGAGTTATCCTTGCAATTGTTTTAATTTTCTTTCTTGATTTGCTTTTTACTTTTAATACAGTTTTTGTAAAATCCTGAAATTTTGGATGATCTCCTGCTATTGATGGGCTTTTAAAATCTTTTGTTTTTTGCTGCTGCAGTTGCTGACAGAAATGGATGGATTTGAGTCAGACATGAAAGTGGTTGTTATTGGGGCAACCAACCGGCGAGAAGCATTGGATCCAGCCCTCTGTCGCCCTGGTCGCTTCTCGAGAAAAGTTTTGGTGGGGGAACCAGATGAGGAAGGAAGGAGAAAGATTTTGGCTGTGCACTTGAGAGGAGTTCCTCTAGAAGAAGACAAACAACTTATTGCTGACTTAGTTGCTTCACTGACCCCAGGTTTTGTAGGTGCTGATCTTGCAAACATTGTCAATGAAGCTGCTTTACTTGCTGCTCGTAGAGGTGAGAAGCTGATACAGAGTCATTACCATCTGATATTAGATTGCATTGCCTCTAATACGTGTCTTGCTTTGAGATTTGAACATTGCTTTTTGTAATGTTTTGTTGAACATCATTAAAGCAGATGCATCTCTGCAGCAAGCAGATGCATCTCTGCAGCATGCAGAGGCCTTTTTCTTCGTTTACATTTTCTTCTTCTGTTTTTTTGTGTTTTTGGGCGGGGGGGGGGTTGAATAATGGTTATGTTTCGGCTGTAAACTTATACTAAGAAACATGAATAATTTGTCTTGCTCTGCCTTTTTTACAGGTGCTGAAACTTTGGCAAGGGAAGATATGATGGAAGCTGTTGAGAGAGCTAAATTTGGGATTAATGGTAGGCAGCCTAGTACAATAGGCAAAGAGCTAGGAAAACTTTTCCCATGGATGCCCTCCTTAATGGGAAGGAGTGACACAAGACAGGATGATTTGCAAGGGCCCTTGGGCTATCAAACTCTAAGCTGATAAGTGCTACTTTCTCCGTGCTTATACTGTGATTTATCAGTTATATGATTCTGGAGATGCTTCTAAGAAATGAATATGAAAACAATTTTGTTTTTATTTAATATTTTTGTGGAAGAGATATGTCTATTGGAAACAGTGGAATAGGTTCTGCATTGCCTCTTATGGTGCAGGTATTAGCATCCAGATATCCTCAAACAATGGCCACATACTCATCAGTAATCAGTCTTTTTTATGTTTATTATGTAAATGGCTATGAGCACACTGATCTCTACCTTGTGGAGGTCATCCAAAATTTTGATCATTGAGCTGTAGGGCACTATGCAAAAACATGGTAATTGGCAATGCTTTTTGTTGTTCAATGACCTGGTACTTCATTACTGTCTATCATGTAACTATTAAGTTCCGAATTTTTATGTAGGATTTAAATGAAACTGAGGGTGTGAATTAGCATCATGTTTTGAAATACTCATGTCAAAAATGATAGGAAATTTTCTTTACTCTTTTCATAAATTTCATGGTGAATAAAACAAATATTTTGAACAATAATAATAGTGTTTTCAGTTTATTCACTGATATTACCACTGTTGTTTTCGTGAGGGCCAATAACTTTTGTTGAATCCAGTGCTAGCAGCTATATATATATATATATATTCATTCTTTGGGCCGTCTTCTATAACTGATAAATTCAACATTGAAAACTTTGATTAGAATCATAAAATGTAATAATTAAGCCTTGAGATGCAAAGGAATGTTGACCTCTTACTTTAAGGATATTGGAATTAATTTCTTTACATCTATATAGTCTGCTGATTAAAGACATAGCAGTCTGTAGAT